ATCTTGCGAAATCAGCAGTAAAGCCGTAAGGACAATTTATTTAATCTCATAAAGTCATTTATAAAGTTATCTCGTAAAGTTATCAGTAAAGTCGCAAAGACACTTTATTTTATCTCGTTTCCTTGTAAAGTGTTTTTGATTTTTCGTCTAAAGCATAATTTAGAAATTTCTTATTTAAGATAAATTGAAATTACCAACTCGAGTATGGGGGATTTTATAAAAAGAAGAGCACCTACCCCATGACTATAAGTTACCCTTCATTATTTTTTCTTTTTGTGCCCTATATTTTAGCTACCTTATAGTGCGCAATGTGTTTGGCTCAGTACTGCCACATTCTTGAGCTTTTAAATTATACATTTCATCTACAATAATTCCATGGGGGAATTTTAACGTAACCTTTAGGAAAAAAAATTTAATGAAAATACTATGAAATTCAATACAAAAAAAAAGTATTTTAATATGGCATTTTTTTCTTAACTGTTGCTCAAGCATCTAATTAGAATTTATCAAAATTTTCTTTTTCTTAAAGCAACAGCTTACTGCACTAGGAAAGAGTTGCCATTTTCTACAAAGAGCAATAATTTGCAACTCCCCCCTTTTGTTACTATTATGGAAAATTGATTAGGAAGAGATATTTAACTCAATACAGGAAAGAGAAATCTTTTTCAGAAAGAAATCTTTAGAGGGGAAATTTTAAAATGTAAATTACAGTGAAAACTTCCCTGCTGCGATCGTTGTTGATGGTTGATACATCCATTAACTTCAAAATTGCAATCTAAGGTGCAAGATTTTTCGTAAACAGTTTCCACTTTAGTCAGTGTCATTTTCTTTTTTTCTTTTTTTCAGAAATGCCACTTTTGTTGGCGTCATGAAAAGACGGAACAATGAATAAAATCTAGCGTTCATAAAAATGGTCACAACTGATATAATTATGTGTAAAAACAAATTTATCAATTATGAATGATAAAACTATTTTAAATAAATAAACACTTACATTTTTCTTATGTTTACAATTTAATTTTGCGTCATAAAAATTAATTAGCTTTAAGAGATTAGAGGAGATTTGTGGGGTTTTTTTTCTAAAATAACTTTTTTTTAAGTTAACTTTCAGCTTTAAAAGTAAATCATTGCCAGCATCGTTTTTAGGGTGCTCTGACTGCAACATGAGGTTGTTTTGTCAGAAAGAGCACTCTAAATTAGAACCTCACACAAATATTTTGAACACATTTTAATCTACTTATTTGTTTTGTTAAATTTTTGTTTTGATATTTTTTCGTGTTTCCTTATTCGACCTTTTCCGCATATGGTGCAGATGTTCTCCCGATCGCTGAGAGAGGTTTTAAGGGTCTCTCCTAAAGGTTTTCTTCGGCATAAAATCTATGGAGAAAATTCCTTTCCTCTCAAAAGTGGTCGTAAAAGTGGTCACTACATAGAGGTGGTCTTTCCCGGAGGTTTCACTGTGCATAGGTACCACTATACACATCTATATTCTTCCGTGCGTAGGTCGTCGGGCTACCAAAGCAGAGGTGCCATCCCCTCTGCAGAGGATAAAAAATTGTGATGGCATGTCTTCGGATTATCCTCAGGGATGTTTCCCAGACCGTCGCCAACAGCCCATTGGGCAGCTCAAGTGCGACGTAAATAAGCACAACTACAACGGCTATATCCTAGCCACAATACACAAGGTATTCTTACTAAAAAAAGAAGCAAAAAATATATTATGCACATTAAGGACTGCAGATTAATGTTAAAACAACAAAAACGCAATCGATATCTATAAATCTACAGCAGACGAAAGACTGAAGGCATCTAAATTTATTTAAAGGAAACAGTGAATTCTGGTAAGTCCATTAATTTATTCAAAACAGTTCAAAGGAAACAAACAAATAAATTCAAACGAAACAGTCGTAAGACGATTAATAGAAACACATTTTATCAGGTAATTCTATCAAGCAAACTGGTTTCGACATTTTGAATCCCATCTTCCTCACTAGTAATTCGATTGATTTTGAAAGCACTTTTCTTGTTTTTTCCCTCACTTCAATATTGGTAATCACTTATGTGTCTTCTTTTTCTTTCATGTGCGAAAATGATTATAGAAATGTATAAAGAGTGCTTGTTCGAAGCTCCATATTCAGTGCGTAAAAACTAACACCCTAAGAAGCTTTTGATCTAACGATCAGATTTTCACGTTCTAAGATGCAGTCCTAAGGGTTCAAAGACCTAAACTAAAAGTTGCTTATGAAATTGTGCATTTTTAAGTTACTAAATCAGACACAAAATTATACTTAACTCCTAGAAAAGAGAAGACCTCAGCACGGGTTACCATAAACAAGAAATTTGATACTTTAGTGTTCCAAACGTAATCACAACTTTCGTAATCACCACCACTGTGCAGATTAGTTGCTCGAACGTAGTGACATTTTCTTATCTTTCATCCACTGTGCAGTTTATGTTCGTTACCAAATTGATCCATGCTGAGGTCTTCTTTCTTCTAGGGGGTATTGACTTAATCCAAATAAACATACATTTTTATCATTATTATTGAATTTGAAATCCTAACCCTAAAAATAGGAGAGGGCTGCCTAAATCTGAAAGATATAGGCTCAATATTTTAAACAGGACAGCGGTCGAAAATTTGGCTCCCTAAAAGCTAATTTCACTTTTATCTTATATTTATATAGCATATGATTATAAAACTTGTTTATCAAAAGATTATTCCATGCAAAACAGTTATAACTATTTAATATCTCTAATTATTACAACAGAGAGGTAAAAAAAAATGTGAACTCTAAGGTACCCAAATCTTTAGATAATTCTAATTTACGTAGCTTTAAATGACGAATTTTGAAAGGAATCAGTAGATTAATATCTGAGAAATAAAATTCAAAAAATAAAACTTCTTTGAGATGGTGGAATTATGAAAAACAAACTTACATGGGATTCAAACTTTAGACCACTGTAACTGTTGGAAACATATTTTCCAGATTGCAGCAATCTCAGTATATTTCGATGGTCAAGAATTCAAATCCTTCTAAAAGAGATCAATCTCATTTTAAAAAAAATACGTTTTTGTATTTTACTCCCTAACTCAAAATATTTTGAGCACAAATGAATCAGCATTTAAGCCCTCGAACCATTAAAATGGAGTCCTCGAGCATAAAAATTCGATCATTAGATCAAAAGTTATTCAGAGAATTAACTTTTTTCCGCACAGTTCGACAAAAAAGATTTAAGTTGACTCTGACTTTAAGAACCTTGTAGTTGCACTTTGATGATTGGAGTTGTTAATAAGAGATACCGATTTACGTGATTTAATAAAATTTCCTATTTTAAAAAAATAGCTAACAAATAACGTTTATTATTTGGAAAAAAAATTATGAATATAAGAGAGCATGAAGATAAAAATTTTAAAATAATTTAAATTCTCGAAATAAAACACTAAAACTGTTTTAAGATTAATTCATGGAGAATATTTGAAAACACAGAAGGCTTTCGAACCCATAATAAAGAGCTTTAAAACAGGTGATAAAATTAAAATCCTTTAAATCTTTTTATATTATTCTTTCTATTCTATATTAAATTCATAAGCGCAAACCACTGCTGTTTTGGTACTCAACTTTTACGTTACATTGTGTTACATTTACGTTACATTATGTTACATTTACGTTACTTTAAGTTACGTTGCATTTTGTTCCGCTGAGCAAAATCTGTAGGACATAGAAAGTTGAAGTTAAGAAAAACGATAGAATAAAAAAATAACACTCCGTGAGAATTATTAATTGTTAAACTTGTAGTAAAAAATGCATGAGGGCCGATCTGTAGACGGTAAAAATACAACTTCAGAGTTGAAATTTGACAAACTGAAAGTAAGATTTTTTTTTTTTTAGAAATTCTTATTTGTTTGAAAATTATTACAATTTTAAGTTTTAATAATTCGCACTTTTTTTTTGTCAAGACTATGAGACTTAAAAACTTCAAATTACTGTGGTGTGTAGAAAAATGTACAGTATAATGGATTGAAAACAATTTTTATTCGACTATTAGACTTAAAACTGCTAAAGTTTAGTAAAAAATACCATGTCCGCCGTTCTGCTGTCAACTAAAATACAACTATGGAGTCAAAATTTGACATTCTGAAAGAGATATTTTATATTTTTGAACTTAATTAAAGTTTTTTTTAAAGTTATTGCAATTTTAATGTGCTTTTCCTGTACCTTTTTTCTCAGTTTTTTTGCTTTTTTTGCTATGTATCCATTTTTATCGAAAAAAAAAATTTTTTCACTCTCGATATATATTTATTTTAAAAGTTCAAGTTGAATATTGTTGTCAAATGTAGCAAAAAAAGTAAAATAAAAGAATGATAAATTTATTGCCAGATCTAAATCTTAACATGTACGTAATATTTTGAAATATTAAAAAAACTTTATACGAGAAAAATGGAAAACGTTCCATATTTCAACTGTTATAATTTTCGTGAACGAGCAAAATTATTCTTCGATATCGAGAAAAATTCAAAATTATTCTTAATTATTTCTTCTCATTCAGTCACACAGTCTGTATTCTTTAGATTAATTTTTTTTCCAAGTCCAAATGATAATTTTTCTAATCCAGTCCGCATCACTACGATTTACTTATTGATAAAATGTTCTTACATAAGAGTATTATATTTGTAAATTTTTTTAACAAAATGTGAAATTTTGTGTGGAAAATATTCACTTTTAAGAAGGAAAAAAAACAATGATGAATGCGAAGTAATTACCGGGTTGGCAAGCGTAGCCTCCCCGTTTAATTTAAAAATTGAAGACCTGCATCATTCTAATATAATTATATTCCAAAAATAACAATGGGGGCAAAGGAACAACAAAGAACACAGACGATGAAAAAAAATTATAATTAAGTAAACACATGCAATACGCCATTGTAGAATGGCGAAAGGCCACCATCAAATGCGACCAATTAGTTACTTCCTTTGAAATATCAAGTTGGGACATTGCCTTGTGGGCAATTTCTATAGCCTTTTCTGCCCGTGAGAAAAACTGCAAACACTGCGTTTGTTTCAATAAAGTTTGCAAATAAAACAAAAATTAGAAGGTCTTTGGAATAACAAAGTAGTTCAAAGCTGTTGCCACAGACTGTATATAAAAGATGAGCTTAATCTATTTTATCAAAAATCGTCTGTTTTTTGCATAGTGTTAAACTTCGTATCGTTTGGAAACATTTGTGCAAAGAAATGAGTTATCAAAAAATGTTTAAGTATCTGTTTTTTGCCTCAGTTTGGATTTATTCCGTGCATGCTGGTAAGTCCATTATTTTGTTTTTACCTTACAATTGCAGTTAAAATATATTTAACTAAAATCATTTTCTTTTAATTATCTACACAATCAAATTGCCTAATCTAGACAATTTACTAGCCCATGGTGTTTGCGCCGCATATGGAAAGAGCGCCACAGTTGGAAGAACAGTTCATGTTTGGTATTCCAAGTTTAAAATTTGAAATTTTTGACCTCAAAAGATGTAACTCATTCTGGTAGCCCGGTTGAGCTTTAGACAATTTAGGTTTAATTAAATATTAGTTAACATGATTAAGAGACTAGTCTAGAAAATCTAGAATAGACAATTTAATTGTCTAGTCTATGGCGTTTTGCTGCGAATGTAGAAAGCATCAAAGCTGGAAGAACCGTTCATGTTTGGTATTCCTAGCTTAAAAATTAAAATTTTTGACCTCAAAGATGTAACTGGTTCTGACTGTCAAGTTGAGCTTGAAACAATTTAAATTTAATTAAATATTAATTAACTTGACTAATAGACTAGTCTAGATAATCTATATTAGACAATTAAATTGTCTAGTCTAGACAATTTAATTGTCAAATCTATGGTGTTTGTACTGCGTATGGAGAGAGCGCTAAAGCTGGAAGAACCTTTCATGATTGGTATTCCAAGTTGAAAAATAGAAATTTATGAAATTTATGAAAAAATAGACGTTCTGGCTGCCCAGTTGAGCTTGATGAAGAGCGATTAACCAACTTTTGCATGAAAATTTCGCTTCTAATGGCAAGAAAGCTGGCAGAGAGAACAAAGGGCTCCCCCACTTTGAACTTCGAATAAAATTTATAATAAACGATGAGAAATTAATTGCCAACATAACATAACAATAAATTTCAAAACGCAAACGATAATTTATGGATATCAAGTGGTTCCACAAGTCCGTCAATTTGAAATTAAATTAAATGCATGACAAGTTTAAAGTCACGCAGAACAAAGTTTTAAGATCCATAATTCAGTGAGTTTGAATTTCTTTCCAGTAGATAGCAGTGCATATTATTTCGAACACATTCTATTTGGTATCGATGATGATCTCGTACTCTGAGGGCTTGCTGTTAAATGAACTTAAATACAAGAATAAAAATTTATTCAAACATTAACTACAGTCTGTCTTAGTGGTCGGAAAAACTACATTATTTTTGCAGTTTACTACATTTACAACTACTTTGTTACAAATCTAGTCAATCACAACTACTTTTTTTTAAATGTAGTGACAACAAATTACTTTGGAATTGTAGTGACTACTTCGCTGCTTTAAGGAATCCAACTTTGCTGCAGAAATTAATTTACACCTATATAATTTACACTGCTGGAGATTTTAATTTACACATTATGTTCAAAATGGTTTTATGTTTAAAAAAAATTGGCTTTTATTAAACATGAAGAATTATTTAAGAAGAATTATTCATGTTGACAGGAACCATTCTGTTCTTCTAAAACAGGAGTTTCCAACTTACACGAAGCCGGGGGCCGCAATTAAAAATACCAGTCAAATGGCGGGCCGCAACTTTATCAAAATTTTATATAGGACTCTTTTATGCTTGAAGGAACATTAAATATTACTGTCACAAACTTTTATCAAGTTGTACAAAACAAAAGTATTGAATTGCAAATCAAAATACGAAGTAGATTTTTACTTGAGAAATAAATTTTGTTTGCACCGTTGGTATGTTAAATTTCACAGAAACGAAGAAATTAGGGTTTTTTTAACGAAAGAAAAGTATTTTAAACCCATATGAATTTTTTACGAAAATTATCCGCAAGAAAAATGGCAACTAATCTATTTTAGTACGAGGGCCACAAAAAAGACTTCCCGGATGTGGCTCGCGCGCCACCAGTTGGAAACCACTGTTCTAAAACATTTCTTTCGAATTTGTTCATCAAGTCTTCAACTTTTTATCACCTTCTTGACAGCGCATATTTAATTTAAGAGATGCTAGGAAATTATTAAATACTTGTAATTTCGTTGCAATTGTTCAATGCTCTTTTATTTCCTCTAAGACATTAAGTACATCGAAAACATGTTTCCTTCCTTTGAAATAACATCACTGTCTTACGAGTGTGCATTCGCAAGTAAAAGTATAACCAAAGTGATCAATTATCTATTATTCATGATGGCTAGTTTAAATATTAGTCATAAGTGACCATCAATACGCAATTCTTGTCAACTCAGTGTCACAGGGGCATTTGAAATTGCGTCCTTTGACAAGACTCGAGAAGATTTGTACCCATCAAATTCGAAAAAATAGTTGTTAGAATCCTGGTCAGATACTAAACTAACGTAAAAAATAGTTGCCAGGAATCGCTGCAAACTACTACTTTTTGTATCGCACTACTCACTGCGCTACTTTTTTTAACAAAGAAAAAAAATAGCACACTACACTACAGACTACGAAAAGAAAGTAGGGACTACAGTAGTTTCACTATTTGTAGTGTGCTACTTCTGACCACTGGTCTGTTCCACGAGCNGGAAGAACCGTTCATGTTTGGTATTCCTAGTTTAAAAATGAAAATTTTTGACCTCAAAGATGTAACGGGCTCTGACTGTCAAGTTGAACTTGAAACAATTTAAGTTTAATTAAATATTCATTAACATGATTAAGAGACTAGTGTAGATAATCTATACTAGACAGTTAAATTGTCTTGTGTAGACAATTTAATTGTCAAATCTATGGCGTTTGTGCTGCGTATGGAGAAAGCACCAAAGCTGGAAGAACCGTTCATGTTTGGTATTCCTAGTTTAAAAATGAAAATTTTTGACCTCAAAGATGTAACGGGCTCTGACTGTCAAGTTGAACTTGAAACAATTTAAGTTTAATTAAATATTCATTAACATGATTAAGAGACTAGTGTAGATAATCTATACTAGACAGTTAAATTGTCTTGTGTAGACAATTTAATTGTCAAATCTATGGCGTTTGTGCTGCGTATGGAGAAAGCGCCAAAGCTGCAAGAACCGTTCATGTTTGGTATTCCTAGTTGAAAAATGAAAATTTTTGACCTCAAAGATGTAACGAACTCTGGCTGTCAAGTTGAACTTGAAACAATTTAAGTTTAATTAAATATTCATTAACTTGACTAATAGACTAGTCTAGATAATCTATACTAGACAATTAAATTGTCTAGTCTAGACAATTTAATTATCCAATCTATGGCGTTTGTGCTGCGTATGGAGAGAGCGCCAAAGCTGGAAAAACCGTTCATGATTGGTATTCCCAGTTGAAAAATAGAAATTTATGAAATTTATGAAAAAATAGACGTTCTGGCTGCCCAGTTGAGCTTGATGAAGAGCGATTAACCAACTTTTGCATAAAAATTTCGCTTCTAACAGCAAGAAAGCTGGCAGAGAAAGCAGTGGGCTCCCCACTTTGAACTTTAAATAAAATTTATAATAAACGATAAGAAATTAATTGCCAACATAACACAACAAAGCTAGTAAATTGTAGTTTATAAAATCAAATGCTTGTTAAACTGCCGCCTCAATCGAAAAATCTACATAAGCGACAAAAAATTTAAAATTGAGATTTTCTATATATTTGTCATCTTTGTATAGTAAACAACATATTGCAAAAATAAGTAAATAGATACATTTAAATAAATTTTGTTTTATCAGTTTTTTGAAATTATTATTTTAGTGTTTAGCAATAGAAAGAAAATAGTTGTCTAGCCAATTTTTCTCAGAATCGATTGTGAAGCGTTGTTTTTTCACTTGCACGGCAGTACAGAAAATTGCAGCAACAAAAGTGCTAATATTTTTTTTAAATCTATTTTACGTGGCGTTTCAAACTCCGTTTGTCGTTATATTTCCGATATTTAATCTTCAAAAACTCCGCAATTCTTTAAACCATGTTATTATGACACACAAAATTTGAATTTGAGTTGTTCACGGCGATTCTATAGTCACATAATTCTATAAAAACAAAAAGGCATGTTCTAATTTTAAAAATAATATAAAAGAAAGCGAACTCATTTTTTGAACCATTATAATTAAAAACAAAAATTATCCGTGAGATAATATTGAAGTTGATTAGCTGCATCTATCCAAAGAAAGTTGCCCATAACGATTACATAACCAAATAAAAGTTCATTTTTGAAAAGTTTTATAGATTTTAAATAGCAAATAAAACAGTTTTTGCTTTCTGTTAAAGATATCAGGAATATAGTTCTTTCAAAACAAAACGACATGTTTTAATTTTAAAAATAATTTATAAGAAGGCGGACTGTTTCTCTCATACATTAATTTTTTTAACATTAATTAATTTTAATTTTTTTGTAATTAAAGACAGTAATTTTCCGAACGAAAATATTGATGTTTCAACTGTTAATCCTTAGGATATTATAAAATGATATCTATTATATTATGAATAAAAAAAATCACTTTTAAACGAATGACTATTTTTGAAATTATAAAAATATTATACATTCTTTTCTTTCTTTTTGAACCACTATTTTCTCAAATTTCAAAAGGGCATCAAAATTCAAGACTGCAATAATATATTTTAAATCCACAAAATAGAAGCAACAGCTTTATTTTTAAAAAGTCATTTTAAATACTTAGTAAAAATACTTAACCGGAAAAAATACTTAACCTGAAAAATAAAATATTTCTCTATATACTAGATATCATGTACGACAAAAACTAATTAAACATTTAAAAAATTTTACGCAGTTTATTTAGTTTTTTTTAATTTAAAAAATAAATAAAGTATGACCTATCGCAGATTTTTTAAAATTTTTTTAGTGTTGGGACCCCATAATATTTGCGAACATTTTGCGGGACCCCATAAGCTTTGCGCAAATACAGCACACGCGTGGGTGAGATGCTTCACTTGTACGGTAATATACTATTGCAGTTTTGGGTCATTAACTTTAAGACATAGAACAATGTGAAAAATTTAAATGAGTAGCAAACTTAGAAGCTGAACTTAAATACGAAAATAAAAATTAATTCAAACATTAACTACAGTCTGTTTTA